TACAGCACAAGCTCACATGGAAGTCACCTGATGGAAGAACCATCAACCAGATTAACCACATCATAATCAATGGAAAGTGGCACAGGTCATTACAATATGTGAGAGCATATCGAGGTGCAGATGCCTACAGTGACCACTACCTGTTCGTTGCCACCATCAAGCTCAAGCTGAAGAGGTTGATGCCACAAGGCCAGTGGCAGAAAATGCTAGATATTGCAAAGCTCCATTACCCAAAGAAAAACAAGGAATTCGTGCTGGAACTGAGGAACCGCTTTAGCACACAAGATGCTACCTCTGCAACAGAAGTGTCCTCTGTAAACCACAAATGGAACATCATCAAAAACATATACTCTGAAACAGCACAAAAAAATCTTAGGCTATAAACAGAGAGGAGTCAAAGAATGGGTATCTGCTAACGCATGGCAGAAAATTGAAGAGAGAAAACAGCTAAAAGCAAAGCTATTGAGCCTCAAGTCCCAACGACTCATTGAAAAAGCCAAGCTGTCCTATAAAAACAAGGACAAAGAAGTGAAGAGGAGTATCAGGAGAGACAAGGGGACCTTTGCAGAAAGCCTGGCAAAGAAAGCAGAGAAGGCCGCAGCCTCTGGGAACCTGGGGACGGTATATAAGATCACCAAACGACTCTGTGGAAACCACACAAGCCAAAGCACCCACATTAGGGATAATTACGGCAAAATTTTCTCATCGGAGCGTGAGTAAGCAGCCAGATGGGTCCAACATTTCCAAGAAGTGCTCAATCACCCTGAGCCAGAACAACCTGCCAACATCACAACAACAGCCTACATCCTGGATATTAACATCAACCCCCCTGACCTTTCAGAGGTCAAAACTGCCATCCTACAGTATCCCTAAAGAGTGGCAAGGCATGTGGCCTGGATGCAATCCATGCGGAGATGCTGAAGGCTGACATTTTAACATCAACTAAAGTCCTTACTGATCTCTTCCAAAACATCTGGAACAGTGATACCATCAAGATGACTGGTCTAAATGCCTCATAGTCAAAATCCCAAAGAAAGGCGACACCAAAAACTGTGACAACTGGAGAAAAATCAGCCTTCTGTCCATCCCAAGCAAAGTGTTCTGCAGAGTCCTCCTTAACAGAATGGAGCCTGCCATTGACTCCAGGCTCAGACAAGTACAAGCAGGCTTCAGGAAAGGAAGGGGATGTATGGACCAGACCTTTGCACTGCAAAACATCCTTGAGCAGTGCTTAGAATGGAACACAGCCATGTACATCAATTTTGTTGATTTCAAGATGCCATTTGATAGTGTCCATCGGAATCCCACCTAAGATAATTACAATCATAAAAATCTTCCATGAAAAATTTGAGTGCAGTGTCCTTATGGGCAAATACTCTCACTGAATGGTTCCCTGTACAGTCTGGAGTGAGACAAGCGTGCATCATCTCTCCCATCCTCTTCCTACTTGCAATAGACTGGATCACAACCAACACAACAGCAGACAAACCTCTCAGTTAGAAGACTGTGACTTTGCAGATGACCTTGCTCTCCTTTCAACAAACCAGTCCAACATGCAATCGAAAACTGACAGGCTCAACAAATATGCCAGACAGGCCGGACTTAACATCAACAACTCCAAAACCCATGTGATGTGCATAAACTCCGCCCCCACAGCACCCATCCAGGTGAATGGAGCACCACTCGAGTTTGTGGAGGACTTCATCTACCTTGGCAGCCTTATCAGCAAGGACAGCGCTGTCCATAAAGACATTAGAGCAAGGCTGGGAAAGGCTCAGGGTGCCTTTTACCAACTCCATTCCATCTGGAGGTCTAAACAATACAGCCTAAAAACAGAGATGCTCCTGTACAACAGCAACGTAAATTATGTCCTCCTGTATGGTTCAGAGTCTTGGCGTGTGGTCAGTACAGACATGAGGAGACTTGATGTCTTCCACAACAGATGCCTCAGACGAATCTGCCAGATCTTTTGGCCCAACAAAATATCCAACCAATAACTATACAACAAAACAAGCAGTCAAAGCATCACCAAGGACATTACATTAAGACGCTTCAGATGGCTTGGACATGTGTTAAGGATGGAGCAAAACCGCATCCCAAGAGTTGCCTTAAGATGGGCACCACCTGGAAAAAGAAAACCTGGAAGACCCAAAAACACCTGGCATAGAACTGTGGTACAGGAGCTTCAAAAGATGAACCTGTCATGGGGAGAAGCACAACATGCTACAAAGGACCGCATGCGATGGAGAGAGATCACTGAAGCCTTATGTCCCACAAGGGACGAAGAGGATTGAGTTGAGTTGAGACCTGCAGTTATAATTATTAGTTTAAATCTGGAATTTGATTTAGAAATCATTAGTCATTAGTTTTGAAAAATAACCAAAACAAGGGCCTACACTGACAGTGATGAACATGTGTGCTTATGTAACGGATTTTGTGTTTTGTTCTAAAATTTAAGCTTAAATGGACAGACTGGAGGAGCAGGCTTGGGTCTTGATCCTCTCATTCGGGTCTGATTATGAAAACAAAATGTAAAAAATCTTCAGCTTCTTTTCTTTTCTAAAAATAACTGGCAATCTTCTTGATTTCCCCAATCACAGGAAATGGGGATCCCCACTGGACAGTTGAAGGGGCGTGAACTTAAATGAGCGAACTATGTAACTGCAGTGTGTGATCTGTCTATGTTGCTATATGTACTGTAGGAATTATTAGCTCAGGTAATTTTTTATATCTCCACCAATGTTTGAAATTAATTAAAGTTTAATTAATTATTATTTAATGCTGATTATTAACCAATCGTTATGCCGAAT